GAAGCCCAAGGAGAAGAAGACCAAGAAGATCAAGGAGCAGGAGACCACCAACGAGGAGCTCAACAAGACCAAGCCTATCTGGACACGCAACCCGAACGACATTACTACTGAGGAGTATGGGTCGTTCTACAAGAGCTTGACTAATGACTGGGAAGACCATCTTGCCGTCAAGCACTTCTCCGTTGAGGGTCAGCTCGAGTTCAAGGCCATCCTCTTCATCCCCAAGCGGTACGTCTTCTTTGCTTGTTGCAGTTATACCGATCCTAATCCATCGTGATCAGCGCTCCCTTTGACCTCTTCGAGTCCAAGAAGAAGCGTAACAACATCAAGCTCTACGTCCGCCGCGTCTTCATCATGGACGACTGCGAGGATCTCATCCCCGAGTACCTCAACTTTGTCAAGGGTATCGTCGACTCTGAGGATCTGCCCCTCAACATCTCCCGTGAGACCCTCCAGCAGAACAAGATCCTCAAGGTCATCCGCAAGAACATTGTCAAGAAGACTATGGATCTCATCAGTGAGATTGCGGAGGACAAGGACAACTTTGCCAAGTTCTACGAGGCGTTTGGCAAGAACATCAAGCTTGGTATTCACGAGGATGCCCAGAACCGCTCCAAGCTCGCCGAGTTCCTTCGTTTCTACTCTACCAAGTCCACCGAGGAGCAGGTCTCGTTGAAGGGTACGACGTCTCGCGTCTCTCAATCGTAAACATCGACTGACGTCTCTGTAGACTACATCACCCGCATGCCCGAGGTCCAAAAGACCATCTACTACCTCACCGGCGAGTCCCTCGCTGCCACGCGCGACTCTCCCTTCCTTGAGGTGCTCAAGAAGAAGGGTTTCGAAGTCCTGCTCCTCGTTGACCCTATTGATGAGTACGCCATCACCCAGCTCAAGGAGTTTGAGGGCAAGAAGCTCGTCTGCGTGTCGAAGGAGGGTCTCGAGCTCGAGGAGACTGATGAGGAGAAGGCAGCTCGTGAGGCCGAGGTCACTGCGTTCACTGATCTGTGCACTGTCGTGAAGGAAGCGCTCGGTGACAAGGTCGAGAAGGTCGTCATCTCCAACCGTATCGTCGACTCGCCTTGCGTGCTCGTCACTGGCCAGTTTGGTTGGTCGTCTAACATGGTGCGTTGGCTCTTTCCTCCTCAAGTAGATATTGGTGCTGAATGATTTGTGTGTAGGAGCGTATAATGAAAGCACAGGCCCTCCGTGATTCGTCGATGTCGTCATACATGGCATCGAAGAAGACACTTGAGCTCAACCCCAGCAACGCTATCGTCAAGGAGCTCAAGCGGAAGGTTGCAGAGGACAAGGCCGACAAGTCCGTGCGGGACCTTACCTTCCTCCTCTTTGAGACTGCCCTGCTCACCTCTGGCTTCGTCCTCGACGAGCCCACATCATTCGCTAAGCGCATCCACCGTATGATTGCGTACGTCTTGCTTTTTCTTTTTCACTGTGCTTGCTGATTGATTGATTGATGATTCGACTAGTCTGGGACTTGATGTCGATGAGGACGAGGAGACTGCTGCTGAGCCCATCGTCACTGAAACACCGGCGGCTGAGGCGGCGTCTACGTCAGCAATGGAGGAGATTGACTAGATGGTTGGGACGGGCGCTCTCTTTCGTTTCTTGTTGTCGTTTGTTGGTTATCCGATCTTCCAATACATCATTTGTATCAACGCCCCCCCCCTCACCCCCATTTGCATGCATCATCTACATAGTTGTTTTTTTTTTAGTTTGGCAAAATTAAAAGTCTTTGCTTTTGTTTGGGTTTCGTCTGCAGATGAGGTGTTGGTGATAAGCGACGAGTTCCGTTACCCCATGGAAATGCATTCTATCTCATATCGTACATAACTATCGGCGTGAACCGCCGCACCTGAGGTGTACTTATGTATACACACCATCAAGGAATGTAAACGCAAAACTTCCGAGATATACATGGGAGAACCCCGAAACTCGTCGTCGTCACACACACTGAGATGATAAGAAAAAGAAAGCTACCCGTGGGGGGTGTTATCTATGTATGTATGTATACACACCATCGAGGAATGGAAAGCTAGAGGACCTACTGCGTTCTGAAACATACGTACATAGATGAGGAGCGCATGATGTATGATGAATGGCGTACGTACGTTCTGGGGGTTTGGAATTTTTGATCTTGATGTGTGCAGGTGGTATAGCATAGCGTAGCATAGCATGCGCCGACTTTACGGCTCCTACATGATTAGACGTGAAACATTGATTGATTCATTGGGATGTTTGATGTTCTTTAGATGTATTGGAGATGGAGATGGAGAATAAACCCCGAGTCAGATCCGCAGCGCGAGTGTACCGCCTCGGTTCTCGATGTGGGAACTGTTGTGGATGTGCTACATACGCGGCCCCGGAGAGATTGGGGCGGTATTAGTATGTGATATTAATCAAGTGCTGGCATGGCTCGCGATAGTACATTGATGACTTGTTTTGAGGAAATGTCTGCATAATTGTGCTACATATGGGGCAGACGACGCCGAGTCAGGACTTGAATTTTGTATTGTTTTCACTTGAGGCAATGATGGTCCTGAAGGGGGAGTTGAATGAGAAAAAGAACAATGGGAGCCGAGACTCGGAGGCAAATGATTGCATTGTGGGCGTGACCATTTTTGGCCTTGTCTCGGGCGATGATATAAGAAGGACACTCGCCCGCAGCGCCCGCAAATGCCTGCCATCGTCGCCCCCCGCCCGCTGCTCGTCGCGCCTGCCGACCTGCCGAAGCCCCGGCGCGCGTGCCCGACGTCGACGCGCCGCCGCACAAAGCCGTACTCGAGCCGCCGCCGCCCGGCCGTGCGTGGCCCATTGCCAGACCATCCGTTCGACGCGCTGCCGTGGCTGGCCGCGCTCGACGCCACACCCAGCAGCGCCCTCGCCGACATTGCCGATCTCTCACAGATCCCAGATCCCCGTCGCCCTGTGCCGGATCTCGTCCAGACACCGCCGCCGTGTCCCAGCACCCCCCCGTCGCGTCCAACCACCCCCCCGTCGCGCTTTGTCCCGTCGCGGGTGCGCTTCCACAATCTCATGCCTGTGCTCTGCGACGACGAGTTTGCATTTGCACCCCGTTGATCGCATTTGCAGCCGCATTGTTCGCATTTGCAAACCCATTGATCTCACATTATCAGCCTTCGTTGTTCCATCGCATTCTTAGCCTTCGTTCGCATCCTCCAGCCTTTGTTTGCATTCTCCAGCCTTCGTCTCCAGCCTTCGTCTCCAGCCTTCGTTCGCATCCTCAGCCTTCGTTCCCGGCTTCGCTGCCCGTCTGTATCTGTACTCAAGCTTTCGTCGCATCTCTGCATTCTCACATCGCACGCAATATCTCTCAATCTCTGTTTCCATACATCTAGTAGTTGTACTCGTATAGAATATCCCAGAAATGTATTTCCAATGTTACCCGTGACCGTGACTTTTTTGACTCCTGCGTCGATGGCAGCAAACCGGCTGGCCAACTTTGGAGCGGGGCCGTCTGCGCTGCCCGAGTCTGTGCTCGTCGAGGCCGCACAGGGCCTGCTCAACTTCAACAACACAGGCATCGGCATCGCCGAAATCTCGCATCGCTCCGCAGAGTTCAACGCGTACATCAGACACACCGCCCAGCTCATCCGCGAGCAGCTCGACGTGCCCCCGACCCACGAGATCCTCTTCATGCAGGGCGGGGGGACGGCCCAGTTCTCGGCCGTCGTGCTCAACCTCCTCGCGCGCCACCGCCTGCTCCATCCTGCCATGGACGAAAAAGACCGCGTGCTCGACTACGTCCTCAGCGGCACATGGTCCCAAGCCTCGTACACCGAAGCCACGCGCCTCGCCCACGGCGCCACCGTCCGCATCGCCGCAGACTCCCGCGCCCACTCTGCAGACCACAAATCATTCGACGGCCTCCCGCCGCACACCGCCTACTCCTTCTCCCCCAACCCCGTCCTCATCTACTACTGCGAGAACGAGACTGTCTCGGGCACCCAGTTCTCCCACACAGACGGCCCCGACGCCTTCCCATTCCACCTCCTCCCCACCGAGCCCCTCCTCCCCCTCGTCGCAGACTACTCCTCCTCGTTCATGAGCCGCCCCATCCCCCGCCTCGCAGACCACGCCGTCATATTCGCCGGCGCACAAAAGAACCTCGGCCCCGCCGGCACCAGCATCGTCATCGTCCGTAAAGACTGCATCGTCGACGTCGACGCCGCCCTGCCCTTCGGCGGCTACCCCGTCCCCGTGTCCCTTGCGTACGCCCCGTACGCCGCACAGGACTCCATGCCCAACACGCCCAGCGTGTTTGCGGTGTACGTCGTGGGGCTCGTGCTGGAGCGCATGGCGGCGCTTGGCGGCGTCCAGGGGTGCGAGGAGGTGAACAGGAGGAAGATGGACAGCGTTTATGCGGTGCTGTGGGAGGGCGAGCGGAGGGGCGTGTTTAGGCCCAAGGTGAGGAGGGGCCAGGGCAGCTGGATGAATGTGACGTTTGGCGTGTGTGGCGACGGCGCGGAGAAGAGGTTTTTGGACGGCGCGGAGCAGAGGGGGCTCAAGGGGCTCAAAGGCCATCGGTGCGTGTGGCGCGTTTTGTGTGTGTTTTCGTTGGCCTGATTTGTTTTGTTGTAGATCTGTCGGGGGGATGAGGGCGTCGCTTTATAATGCTGTCACTGAGGAGTGGGTGGACAAGCTCGTGGCGTACATGCGCGAGTTTATTGAACAGGAGACGACGGCGTAGAAAATTTATAGTTATCGTATAACGAGTAATGTTCATCCCTGTATCATCGACACACGCTTAGACTACTGGCGCTTAGGAATGCTCCGCAAGTCACTTTGCCGGAGTGGTTAACGGGATCGCCTGCTAAGCGGTTGGGCTTTGCCCGCGAGTGTTCGAATCGCTCAGGTGACGGAATTTTTATCATTCATCGGGCCGAGTGGCGTGACATCCTTACTGCCCTAATCTGGCAATTACGTACGCATGCAAGCAACTCCCACTCATAACTGTCGTCACTTTGCCGGAGTGGTTAACGGGATCGCCTGCTATGATCCACAGCACAGAACAACAGGATTGTACGAGAGCGGTTGGGCTTTGCCCGCGAGTGTTCGAATCGCTCAGGTGACGGTGTGTTTTTGAGGATTTTTTTGGGGTTTGGGTTTTGGGTGGAAACGAGGATGGTGACAAGTGACAGGGTCTACATACATACATAATACACGGGCCCTTTTGTCCGTATGGGGAAGTTGGACCTAGAAGGGAAGGGGGAATCGGGAGTGTTTGTTTCGATGTATCGATATATATGGGACTATGTCTGACTGTCTGTGATTCTGGATCGTGGATTGTGGATTGTGGATTCTGGAGTTGTATATAGTAGCAGCAGCAGTATATGTTTGAGGCATGAGTGTGCATTGCATCGAAGTAGAAGTAGAAGTAGAAGTAGAAGTAGAAGTAGATGATTTATTGGTATTGGTTGTTTGATTCATACTACTACGTGTTCTGAGATCCGACTCTTGACTAGGACTGCGATCATCCCCGCTACAAGGTTGATTCGGTTGAAAAGTCACGTTTTCCGGACCGTTGATCCGCCCGGGCCGTTTTTTTGCCGAGTGTTCATTTCCATCCTTTCCATTTATTTCCCGTCGTTTCCTTATTCGTTGTTCGACCTTTCAGATAAGCTGTGCCAACTTTTAGTCCGAGTCCGAGTTCTTCCCTCGCAGCAGCTATCAACGTGAATCCACTGTGATCATATGTCTCTGTTCGGTATCCACATGCCCCCCTTTTTTTCTGTATTTTGTCTCTAACTTATTGCAATGTCCCTTTTCCCTCTACCTGTTCTGTCTCTTTCTCTGATGGCAATCTAGTCCAGCTGATTGGCAATTCGATTTTTTGCATTCTCACTTCTATTTTTGCCAGGCTTTTGCCAGTATTTAAGGTGATGTGGAGTGCATGTTCATTGCACCAGAGTCAACAGATACATACCATCTGCATTATCAGTGAGGACACTGTCAATTTTTCTATCCTTCTCTGCACTATATACTCATTTGAATCATATGTTGTTTCATGTTTCACTGGTGTACATACTCTGAATCCTTTAGATCTTTTCTCAGCTCTCAGCTTTTGTGTCCAGAAATTATTGATTCTCTGTTGCATATGGGAGATAAATTCTCAATCCCTGGGATTTACATCCCTATTGCTGATCATGTCCAATCTTGTTTTCCCTCTACTTTAATCAGTTATGACTTATCCCTTGATTCAATTGATAGCACTCTGGTTATGGGTCCTGGTGTGAAAGTTGATCTTTTTGCATCTTGTTGTATGTTTGGCCTCCAAAGTTATGTACCAGCATTGTTATACTGGATGTATACTGGATGTGCAAATGTTATCCATTGGTTTGTAACATCCAGCCCTCGTTTGTGTTTCTCACTTGGCCCTCCATCAGAAATTTGTGTCCCCCATTCCATAACTCCATGCTCAGTCATTCTTTTTCAACACATGTAATATCATGACCATTGAGCTGCTATGGTTGAAGCCTCGTAATGTGTGATACTTTAATGAGGTATGAGAATGATTGTGTGACCTGTACAATAAATTGGTGTTTGGTTACATTGGTTGTGTAACTTACCTCCAGGAAAGAAAAAGAAGGTTGATGTTTAACAAAACATCCAGAAACTTCTTCACGACAAAACTCAATCCATCCTTTGCATCTTGTTGAACCACGGGGCTATGGGTTTGAGCATGAAACATATGGATTATCCTGGACATTTTGAAAGTATAGAGTTAAACAAATATTGTCGGCCACAAGGACAAATTAGCGTGTAACTATGTAAATGATTGTAAAACAAAGGCAGTACGTCTGACAACAGATATGATGGCGTTGAATGAACAAAAGCATAGTTGTAACAAGTTCTCTTCTATAGAAAGGCCTTACTTACCAACTAATAAAGACGCTACACGTTGGTCACATGCCATTATATATGTGTCACATGATGTAAATCGACATTAGTGCGTTTGCTACAAGCTTACTGATTGCCCTTTGTACATGAACATGAACACTGAGGCTTGTTACATCCAAGGAATTCTTTGCTTTTGCTTGCTTCTGTAACAGACCGACCACTTGAGGCATCGTATAGCTCGGTGCAACTCTCAGGCCGAGACCGAGAATATGTTGTTGGAATGTTCAGATCGTCATGAAAGATATGTTGTTGTGATTGAATTAGTTATTACATACTTGGTGATGGGTGAAAGCGAAAAGTAGCGGGCATTGCGGCCGAAGAGCGCGCCCTTCATGGATGAAATTGATCATCGACTTCTCTTCAGTTCGACCGCCGACGGCTGACGGCTGACGGGCCGATATGGATACGTACGTTGTCAGTCGGACAGGGTACATACAACATACATCCCTCGAATCTTGGGGCTGTACCTACTACACACACACATACATACTCATCTCACCCAAATGTCACAGTAGCGCACACGGTGGGGTCCCGATTGGTTAGTGCGTGACCTTCTCTTCCCCTCCAAAGTTGATCAATGATCGACCATCGTCACTTTGCCGGAGTGGTTAACGGGATCGCCTGCTATACACGTTCAAGCGCCCTGCTGGTACATGTTTCAAAGCGGTTGCACTTTGTGCGCGAGTGTTCGAATCGCTCAGGTGACGCTTTTTCTTCTTCTTTTTTTTTCTTTTCTTTTTTTTGGTTGTGGTTGATGGGGTTAGTTAGTGTGTATACACTACACACTACACTTGGTCTTGGTGTGGACTGTGTACATATCTCAGTCTTTCGAACCGAAACTTGAAGCGTTGAGGGTTACAAAACGCCCAGGCCGCCGCCGCTCCTACGTAAGTAAGTATTCTTCCATGCTCGTCATTAAGATCAGGTTTCCTCCTCAGAGCAATCTGAACATGAGAAGATTGAAGGGCACTTTTCTGGTTTGGCTCTTAATTCGATTCTGATCTCATCATATTCTCATCCAGCCCTTCATATTATGTATGCATAATACATACTCCTCTCACAAAAACTCAGGCTCATTCTCTACAAAGCCCACACTTTTAAGTTGTAAGTACCTTGAAGAGCCCCCTCAATATCGATCCGCAGGCTGTGTTCAAGTTGGAGCAGTATGTGTTCTTTGCAGCCAAACGACTCACTCAAAGAAGAGTGCGTGTGGCGAAATGTGACGCAGTGGCGTTGCGACGTTGGGAGAAGAGTGAGTTCGTAAAAAGGAGGTGGCGAAAGAAAGATATAAAAGGCGAGCCGTTTCGTCGTCGTCGACGACGACGTCAAGTCACCAACCTGACCATCGCACTTGACCTCTGATTGTCATCTCTGACATTTTCTTCCACAACTAAACAATGGCTTCATCGCATCTCGACCCCGTCGCGCTCAATGAGACAATGTATGTACTGCACACCGTGCGACCAATACAGTGAATCGCTCGCAGATCCGCTGCAGCACATCCAAACATCTAATATCCACCCACGTTGTGAGCCCTGCAACCGTGCGTTCCTAAACAGACACTCCCGCAGAAAAGTAAGTAAGTAAATTCGCATGCGCCATGCGCCACACGATTTTATATAATCCCCACCTTTCCTTCCCCGCTTAACACTATGCGATGTCTTGTAACCACATCTACTGCGATGTGTGTGATAAACTCTTCAAGACACACGCAGCTCAACGTGCATCTCCAGCACTCTATCCGTCACTCAGATGATTCAGACGACGACGACGACGACGACGACGAGGATGCAGTCGATGATCGTCCAGATGGATGGGAGTAGGAACTTGCTGAACAGATCGAGAGGGAAGCGTGTGCTAAGCAGGTTGAGGAGCAGTTTACAACCGACCATGAGGAAGACAAGAGGTTGGCGAACGTACAGCGCAGACAGGCAATGCTGGTCAGTTATACTATTCCCCTTTTCCCTACTTTTGCTAACTTTGCGTCTTAGAACTTCATAGCTCGCCGTAACCGTGATGTATTGAGCGTATCACGCTCATACTATTGCCCAGTCTGCCTCAGTCACCCAAAGTCCGTCGCATCGCTGTGACCATCTTTTCTGCATACCGTGAGTAAAAACTTTCCACTTACTTAATTGATTCAAATCACTCATGCTCTTCTCTAAGCCTATTGAGCAGAAAGGCGTATGTCCATCATGCAGGACAAAGAACTGTAAAATGCATATACGTAGACTTGATATTGGAGTGCATTAATTTTGTCGCAATGCTTTGAATGATACCGTCGATCAATAGAATCGATTTTTATTGTTATCTGAGTCGGCCTCGTTTATCTGGCATGAGTTATGATCAATTTCTGGTCATTCGACTTTGCTTTGAGCAAATAAATCGAGTGAAGCATAGTGAAGGTGAAAACAGCCGTAGTTACAATAAGATGAACAACTCATAAAGGAACGTCTCGAATGAGGCACTTAAAGTATGAAGTTGTCCATTAGTTTCGACTTTCCGCCTTGACACATCGCATTCCTGATGAGATCATTCAAATTGGTCGTCACAGTCACTTTGCCGGAGTGGTTAACGGGATCGCCTGCTATACATTCAAGCGGTTGCACTTTGTGCGCGAGTGTTCGAATCGCTCAGGTGACGCTTTTTACTTCCATTCAAGCTTCACCACACGATTGTCCATGAAGACTGTTCTAACTTTCAACGATACCTTCTATCGTTTGGCAACTCGATCATTACTCTGCTCCACGGAAAAAAAAACCTCTGCTCACTACTGCCCAAAAGTCTAGAGAACAACATACACAGGTAAACTAATTGCAATTGGAGCCCATGTTGAGGACAAATGTGCTCCTACCACCCCGAGGAAGAACCAGCACCGTCTCAGCTCCATAGATCTGAAACGTCTCTATACTAGGTATCGCCATCGAACCCATCGTCAACTCGCCTGCCAATGGCAGCGCTGTAACTGACACCTTAGGCAACGCCAACTCCCCATGATGAAGCGCGATGAGTGTTATAGGCACTACCTTCGTCTCCCCATCCTGTTTCAAAAGGCAAATATGATCGTTCAGCACCATGAATTGTGACGAGACAACTTACTGCAGCAGTAAAGTCCCCGCGTTTTGGTCCACTCACGAGCCAGTCGCGTACCATCTCCTCCACGTCGTATCTCAG